GCATAGTACGGCGCACCGCGCAGGTTGTTAAAATGACAATATAAATTCCCGTGCACCTGGCACATCTTCCTGACCATGGAATTTCCTTGTCAAATCAATGCAAGGCAAATATTTCAACTCAAGCAGATATAATTTGAAACTCACCTCTGGCTGTGTTTTTTCAGCTGTGAGGTTATATACTTTAACATTGTTGCTTCCATCTAAACACTTCATTTTTACAAAGAAAAAATTTTATTTTTCTAAGATGGATCAATACATAGAGCCTCGATTTTTAATTACGAAGTTGCGCCTGCTCGTTGAACTTGAAGCGCGTGACGTGGTGAAATAAAAAGGCCTCAGAATGAAGAACTGGCAACAGGTGACTGGCTCAACCAGGATCTCTGCAGCTTGATTGTCATTTAACTGATACAGTAGATTCCTAAGGTGCGGAAAACTGCCGCAATACCTTGCTCCTTGGCTTATACGAGTGGCGTTGGTCAAGCTCGATTATAAATGTAATTCTGGAATCCCGTCACTCTGAATTCCATTAATAAAAATAAAGCCGTTATGGGCAGGTTAAAAAAATAACGATCAGACCCACATTTTTCATACGAGGTAAAATTCCCATTTACTTCTCGTTTCAAATAGGAAATAATCTTTTATTGAATATTAATTTGAAAATAATATTTCAACTTTTTGATCAAATATTTCTCTCCAATCTTGGCAGCGCCTTACGATTTTCTCCCGTCTGACATTTGTGGCAAGACAGCGGTCTTATTGCAGGTCTTCCGGCCGGTCTCTAAGTTTGCAGTATGCCTAAAATATCTGCCAAATTCATTAGGGCAGCTCAATAAAACTTTGCAAATTAATTTATTAGGACATAACGGTGATGATACGGTCGTGATCGTTTCTTTCAATTTCAACTTTGTTGCCTAGTTATACGGTCCAAAATTCGTCGCAAGCCCTGTATACCATTTATCCTCCGGGACATATTTGGATGAAATTTAGAACATACGTTCTTACCCACCTAACGATGACGCTTAGGTCGTAAATTTTTATTAGGTTTCACCTTCATTCGTGAGTTATACGGCCATACCTAGAAAACGCTTGCATTTCTGTGGCCGATTGTCATGTTTGTAGTGAACCTAAAATATCTGCCAAATTAATGAACGCAGCTCGATGGAACTTAGCACATGCGTTCAATATAACTTAACGGTGCGGTTTAGATCGCAATTATTTTTCGTGTTTCACTTTCATTCGCGAGTTATACGGCTATATGAAGAAACGTCAGGCATTTCTATGGCCACTTTTACGGGCGGTATTGTCTTAAATTCAAGTTCTCATCAAAGTCTGTAAATTTATCGAGTAAACGGTTTTTACAAATATGAATTCTGTTCGTTGTACGAAAATCTTTCCCCATTTACGAAAGTATTATTACCTATTGTATACTCATGGTTTGTACAAGGTCCCAGAAGGATTACTAGAATTTTAAACAAGAACCAACACCAGGGGCCACAGCTATAAATTAAAAAAACTGCGGTGCAACTTATCCATGCGACAACATTTCTTCTCGCTTCGAGTCACTGACATGTGGAACAGCCTCCCTGAAGATATTGTTGAAGCTCCGAGTATGAACGCGTTCAAGAACAGACTAGACAAGGCCATGCACGAGCATATGTTTAGTCTTAAAATGCCTCGTACCCTACGGAACAACTGACATCTAGAAGCTATTTTAAATCTACCGTCCGTTGAAAAGATATGATCAAAAGGCCAGTCTAGTCAAGAAAAGTACAAGAATCGGCGACAGGCCTATCCAGGCCTATTCTTTAAATGCCGAAGATACTATACTATACTACTATACTATTGTACTTATACTTTCTTTAGGAAAGATAATTCCGAACATGGCACGTGTTTTTCCAACGCCTCCACTAAGAGGCTTCCAATTTTCCCAGAACTGAGTTTCACATAAGCAGTGATTCTGGTCATTCTTGGTGCTGCGAATTGAAATAAATGAAACACAGAATAAAGTTGATATTGATTTTTCACTTAGGTACTCATACAGGTATAAAAGTATCTGGTTCCTTACACAGGTCCATGGATAACAACAGGGTAACGATAACAGGAGGGGTGGAATAACTAACATGGGAGTGGTGGATTGACTATAACAGGAGTGGTGGAGTGACTACAACAGGAGTGCTGGAGTTACTACAACAGGAGTGGTAGAGTGACTTCAACAGGAGTGGTGGAATGAAAACAAGAGGAGTGGTACAGTGACTGCAAGAGGAGTGGTGGAGTGACTACAACAGGAGTGCTGGAGTTACTACAACAGGAGTGGTAGAGTGACTTCAACAGGAGTGGTGGAATGAAAACAAGAGGAGTGGTACAGTGACTGCAAGAGGAGTGGTGGAGTGACTACAACAGGAGTGGTGGAGTGACTACAAGACGAGTGGTACAGTGACTGCAAGAGGAGTGGTGGAGTGATTACAACAGGAGTGGTGGAGTGACTACAACAGAAGTGATGGGAGTGACTGTAAGAAGAGTAGTGGAGTGACCGCAAGAGGAGTGGTCAGATTAGGGAATGGTTAAAACTGCCGTGACATCCCGGGGATGAGGAACATCCATCGAAAGGTTTTATCTCACTCAGTGATTAGTGACTCAGTGATCAGTGACTCAGTGGTCAGTGACTCAGTGGTCACTGACTCAGTGGTCAGTAACTCAGAGGGTACTGACTCAGTGGTCAGTAACTTTAAGTTGGCAACAAACTTCCGTGGCTCGAGGATGAGACCATACGTGGAGCTTTACATCAGTTACAAGTTCAAGTAACGCTCTATGTCACTATACATTGCATGCTAAGGTCTTCCTATGTTTGTTATCGCTGGTTGCCTACATACACACTTTTTTGTTTTGTTATAAATAATCTGACTCCTTGCGACAATTTTTGTGCTCCCTGTGCATATGGAATTGTGAGAGGCAATTATCGCGCTTCAAGTTTGCCACATTGCGGTTTAAAGTAATTTATCTCGCATTATCTTCATCAGTAAACTTTAAAGTAAAAAGCAGAAACTGTATCCATCTTAGGACAACGATAATATCGATCAGACTGTCGTCAAAATCAATTGTTGTCGTCAAAATTTAAAAAAAAAAATTCTGGCAAAGGAAATCAAAAATCTTAATTAAACATTAAATTCAGAGAAAATAAATAAAGTGCGATGCTACCGAGGTCATGAGTGCAGGAAACCACAGCAAATTGAATGAAAATGTTTTTTTTTTTCGTGGCACGCACTACATGACCATGCCTGAAGTGCATACCACCTATACAAACACGTAAACAGTATAGTTATGCATGTAAATAAATGTTTCGCGAAACTTTCAACGTTTTGTGAATTTTCTCGGAACAGCAATCATTTCTGTTGGCTATGCATAAAGTAATCTCATTTTTTTGCAATCACAATCATGCCTATACAGTAATACCTAGGCAATTGTCACAGGTGTCCCCGGAACTATAAGCAATAACTCAAAGTTTATGCTAGGAGGGCTTAAGCTCTAGAAATGTTTGTACGCACACTTATTATATTCGCATTAAATCTATAATGTTATTATGGCACCTAATGTTCACGGTTATAACTTCATAGTGAATTACAAATCAACAAAGTATCCAAAAATTTGAAAGTCGATTGTAAGTGCCACGTTGATCGTCCAAATTTCTCATCCGTGGTTAAAGGTGAAGAATTGTTAGTAATTCTGATATTGTTTCCAATGATCCCAATTACGACGTTGTAGTTGTTTTTAATAATCAGGCTTTGAATAAAATCATATAATTTTATAGTTGGTGGCTTGTGACTTTGATTATTAAAGAATTGATTAAGGGGAACTGCACCGGAGCCGCGTTGGAATGAGATTGGACGATTGCTCGTATTTCTTCTATTGAATAACGATAGAAATTAGCATTCATGTTTAGCGATTTTGAAGAACAACGACAGTAAGATAGTAAGGGATCAACGTGCGCTATCGTACAAGACATTTATGAATGCAAGGAAATATTTGGGCAAGTTATTGTTAAGCCAGAGTTGGTTATTACATCGTGATATATAGCATATACAACAATTATATTACTTAAATACTTCTATACAATATTAATCATTATAATTATTGAGCGGTATATATTAATCAGTTTTAAAGGAAATAACTAGGAAAAATAGTAAGCCTATTCCTAGGTAAGATAATGTTAACAATGCAACAAGAAATTTCTAGAGCAATACGGTTCTAGAATATAAAGGTTACTAGCCTAGAGACGCTAACTCGGTGTAAGGTAATCGTTCTGCGCTTCAGGAATCACTCGCCAACACATATTGTTCAAACAAATTAAAAACTAAATTGATTTACCGCAATTAGTTTATATTCAAAGAGAGCTAAATTTACTACACAAATCCCAATAAGAAATCAACCTTTTACATTCAATCTCGAAATAAAGTTTTCATTAAGCTCTCTGAAAATAGCCGATTTGTTAGTATTTAGTGAGCAAACGTCTGGTTCACAGCATCATTCGCGGGCGAGGTCTCATGCAGCGCTGTCCTTATGAGGGCCCTACGCAGTCCCTACGCGGGCCTTACGCGGTCCCTATGCGGTCCTCAAGCGGGCCCTACACGGGCCCTACGCACCCCCTACGCGGTCCCTAAGCGGTCCTCAAGCGAGCCCTACGCGGGCCTTACGCGGTCTCTAAGCGGTCATCAAGCGGGCCCTACGCGGTCCCTAAACGGTCCTACGCGGTCCCCATACTAGGTCCCCACGAGCTTTCCTTTTCCAGACGAGGTGATGAGCAATGCAGGAATGGTGGAGGGTAGGAACGTCCAAAGATTTAGCTTTTTATATATAAATGAAAGTAACTTCCCTCACCAAACACAACGACATGAAAGTAACTTTCCTTGCCTAACATAACGACATGAAAGTAACTTTCCTTGCCTAACATAACGACATGAAAGTAACCTCCCTTGCCGTAACAATACAACACGAAAGTATTTCATCGCCCCCCATAACGATACGAACATTACTTCCATAACATGGTAAGGCTCACATAGCAGTTGTGACTGAGACGTAGCTTTGGCACCGAACTTGACTAGAAAACTTCGACACCGAACAAGTTCCAACTTAAAATCAGGAATATCAGGACCTCATATTAGAGGTTCCTGTATCAAACTTACTCACTGAATAAGTGAATACCCTATAATTATGCTTCATTTTACTCATATATACCTACTTTATCGAATTTCGGAATATTTCACGAAAAAATCAGATGGCATATAATTTAAATTTTCCTAACCTAAAAATTCTATTCTATAATCTGAGTCTCTGACGTTACGTGTTATCAAACCAGATCGTTGTAACGAAAATATTGCGTTTTGTTCGTATAAATTCCGCGACTAATTCAGAAATGCTTCACAGCATCGTTAGTAGCATGGAGATTATTTTGGTCAAGTCAATAATTTTTAAGATTAATTAGTAAATGAATAATTAATGACTTTTTAGTAATTCTAAAAGCTTAAACATATTACAAAGATTAGAAGCCTCCCAGCGGCACGTCACTTCATAATATCAACTAGCAGAGCAATAAATAAAATGCTATATTATTAAGCAGCAAAAGCAATTGGGATTCTAAGATTAGTTTAGTACGACAGCCCGCTTATAATGATGATTTCGACTACAAGGTTCTACTTTTTAATATCGCAAGCAAAGTCGTTATTTAGTTAGAGGCAAAGTTGAGAAGTTGAAGATGTGAATTTAAGGACATAACATGTGAGGGTAGCGAATGTGCTCCCAATAAGGGTGGGGACATGACATTTAGGAGCAACGAATGTGCTCCCAATAAGGGTAAGGGTGCATACAGCCCTATAATAGAGAAGAAGAGGGAAGAATTAATCTACAGTAACATCCTATAATCAGTAACTACATTTCAGGAACAAACGAATATTCAACAACCTTTGACACAACCTGGAAATTTTCTCAGGCATTAACATAATGCAAAGCCAGTTTTCCTACGGATGTAAGGTATTTTTGTGTGGCTACTTCAACAACAGCTTGAGCTTCGAATCATAGCCGCAATGTACAGTTTAAAATAATAATTGTCCACTCATTGAGCAATTGAATGTTTATTATCAGTAAGGATGTGAGAGCTGGTCTCATATATATCCTACTTTGAGGTATTATTCTATTATTCACACGAAATTTTAATGAGGAAAAGACCTCGCCGAAGTGGCGTTCAAAGACGCTAGCAAACAAGGCGCTAACAGCAAAGATTGTTCTAAAATAAAGCTTTTTCAAGACCCTGAATGAGTATTAGAAGCGCTCACTGCTCGTGCAAGGCACTCTGTACTTAAAGCTCGTATTCCTCGTAATTAATTCCTCGCTATTAACCCTACAGGGGTCGGGTGGATTACATATGTGGATAGTTGTTAGTTGTAACGCACCTTACTAAAACAAATGTAATCCACGCCTACCAAATTCGACCGCAATGAAACCGGCCGAAAAGGCGGCTAATTTGGTCAGTTTTTTTCAAATGACCACTGTAAGGTTAATTCGTAACCTCCATGTTCCTCATCTCCTCAGCTACGACAAATGCACTCGCAATCCGTGCTGTTCTGTGGCGAGTGCGACGATGCAGGCGCAAGCGCGCCCGCGAAGCGAATATGGGACGATCAGGACATCGAATGCAGCGACGAGTTTTCTTCCGTTTGTGTTGTGGGGACTTGGAGTTTTGGTCGTCCTCAGAAGCCTCTTCATCTTCATACTCGTCCTCGCTGTCATCGTCGTTAACGACAGCGATGACTTTCTTGGGGCAGCTTTGTTTACGCGAGCGCTTGCTCTGTCTTTCAGCATCAGAATCTTGATGATCGGACTCAGTCGAAGCGGTCGCCGATTGTTCTGAATCAGACGTCACTGACTCATTCCCACAGCCAGGAGCACGTCGTTTGCGACTCGTTACTGTCAGTATCGCATCCGGGTTTTTCTCCGAGCTAGCTGGTTTCACGTGGACTTTTTTCCACAATTGCGGACCGTAAACTGAAGTGAAGACGAGAACACAAGCGGCACACACGTCTTGGTGATGACTTAACCAATGTTCTTTGCCTCTTTCATCGTTGGTGAGACAGTAGCTACAGTGAGGACAGCGAGACGAATTACTTTCAAAGTGTTGTTTCTGAACATGCAGTGCCAGCGAGTTGCTGTCCATGAACCGAGATTGACAAGTATCGACGGGACAGAACAAATGCAACTTGCCTTCCTTTACCTCCTCAGAGAGGTTCATTGATAAGTCTTGGGCTTCTTCCTGAGGGATCGGTGCTTCCATCTTCTTTTGAGCAGGCTTAGGCGAAGCAGAGGACTCTGCTGGCACAATCGGAGTAGTAGATTTGGGGGTGTGGACCTTCTCAAGATGAGATTGGAGAGCAGACTGATTCTCCAGAGTAACGCTGCACACTCCGCATGTGTGCCGCCGGCTATATGGGTTGTTGTGACTGCAAAAAAAAGAGGAGTCATAGAGTACTTAAATAATACAATATTACATTCAAATAAAACCATGAGCTCATATCGCAAATGAATCCATTTAACAACCTAGGCTAATAACAACATAAAAACTTACTGTTGTTCTCGAGTGTGCTCGAGAAGTTTCTCTTGAGTATTAGCCAAGAAGCTGCACTTGTTGCAGATCCTTTTGTTATGAACTTTGAAGACGTGTGTAGACAATCTTTCAGCTCTGGCAGCCTTGTACTCGCACATGGTACAAGCAAACGGCTTGATGTGGGTGTTCATGTGGCGTTTCAAACACCAGTTGTCACTGCCTGACCACTGGCAGTATGGACACCGAAAAGCTTTATCAGTTCGTTTCTTCCCTTGCCGAGGTGATTCAGTAACGACTGAAATTCCTGCCAGAGCCTGGTCATAATCCTTCGTAGGTGTCGTCGGTAGAGACGCTAGATGAGTCGTAGGTAACGAAAGAGGAACTGTAATCGGGGAGGCAGAAGAACATTTTGTGATGGTTATTCTGTGATCTTCCGGCTCTGGCAACCGCAAAGACAATACGTCATTGCCAGGAGAAGAATCAGTTCGATGCAAAGCGATGGAGAGCGATGGCGGGTCAGGAGTGACCACGTCTACGGTAATGTCAGGAGACTCCGGAGATTTAGGCCTATGTTGGCCATTCATGTTCATGTTGTGCACTCGTAAGTTCTGAATCGTCAAAGGGAGCAAACTGATTGAGTTTGATCTCCCTTCTTTGGGTTCATGATCCAATTGTTTAGGTAATTTGAGAGTAGCGGTTGGATTTGATAAGTCAGACGGAACTCCAAGTTGAGGAAGTGGAGTGGTGGTAGATGCTGACAAAGATGGCGTGTCTTCGTGCACTAATGGAGACCCTCTGCCACGAGCGCCGGGCTGCTTTCTGATCTTGGCAATATCGTAGGACGTATCAGGGTGCATGCGAACAAAGTGTTTCTTGACATGATCTGCTCGATTAAATTGCTTAAAGCACATGTAACAGTGGAAAGGTTTGTCGTCTTTGTGAATGTTTTCATGGCGAGTATACAAGTCTCGGCGATCAGTGGCGTACGGACAGTGTGGGCAGTAAAATCTTTTGTCTGCCAGAGTGTTCGAAGAATCAATGCGCGTCTCAACTTTCGTTCTGAGGTCCTGCATTAATCTCGTGACTTCAAGGAGGGTAGAATTTTCTTTCCACATGGTGGTGTCGGCACACTGTTCGTTGTGCTGTCTGGTGAGGTGCATTTTGACACATCGCGACCACGCAGAGGTGTAAGGGCAACGAGGACATCGGAAAACGCGCAGATTTGCATGTGCTCCCAACCAGTGCTCGGCCACCCGTGAAAGGAAGCCTACACACTCGCAATCTACACACATGAAGAGCTTCTGGGCAGGATTGTAAGCAGCTACTTTGGAATCCATCCAAGAAAGTTCGCTATCATTCTCCACCCACAAGTCTTCAACGGATTTCGGCTTGAGTTTGTCCAAAGAGATGCGTCGGTACGATGAGTACAGAGACCGCAAACCCTGTGTGCTCAGATCAAGAGCACCATCATTATCTTGCGCGAATACATTACTTCTCAAGTGATTGTTATTGTGATTTGAGCCGACAACATTCTTATATTTCTTGTACTTATCGCTCCCCGTACTTGTCAAGTAAGTATTCTGCATGCTTTCGATGGCTCTTTGTGCTGCATCGTTTACAATGTAGTGAGTCCCTGTCATGTCCACATGAGATCCAATGGCTTGCCTATTGGCATTTGTACGATCCAAGCTTTGGTGGCTCTCAACGCTGCTGTAAGCCCCACTAATGGCTGCTGAGATATCATTGCGCAGGTTAGGTTTCTGGCAAGCGGTCATGGCAGCGCTGGCGAACGCTGCCGACGACAGAGCGTGAGGCGCCGTCAGCGCTAAAGGCAAATGGCTTGCTGATGAGGTAATGGTGGCCAAAGAAGCGGCCACGGCTGCTGGATCACAGCGATACAATGATGCCATGTGCTGGACCAGCTCGCCATAAGTTGTCAGGTCCAGTGGAGGCATCGAGAGAGCAGCAGTCGCGACGTCGGATCCCAGCAGGCTGAGGGGGGATCCGTCAAGTATGTCGCCTTCGGTCCGCATGGTTCCTCTGCACGGTGAACTGTGGAAAAAAGGAACCCAGCAGGCTGAGAGGGGATCCGTCAAGTATGTCGCCTTCGGTCCGCATTGTTCCTCTGCACGGTGAACTGTGGAAAAAAGGAGGACCGTGATACTCAATGTTCATGACGTAATAAATTATTTGGAATATTATCAGCTTAATTCGAATAAATGATTTTGATATGCGTGAGCAGATTAAATAATGTCGGTTAATCTTCGAAACTCGCTGCTAAAAATCTAAAAATCATCAATTAATACAACGGCTTGTTAATTTGAAAATAATAAACAGATTTCATTTTTTAGTAATACCAAGCCAAACATTTTTTTACTTGTCACTTGCTTCAGTAAAATTTGTGCATTAGGCTGCGAAATTCCGGCCACGTTATGAGTATACAAAATGGTTTTATAATGTGTACCGGTAAAAAATCATCGTATATTATTAAGAATCATAGAGGCTTCATTGCAATGAATGTGTTTTGGAGTTTGATAGCACTGAAATTAACATACATAAACATAACCAATGTCATGGCTGGTCATTGGTATCTTATTTTGTGACAAAAGTCACGCTTACTTTCGTTCCATATGAGCAAAATGTTGTCTATTGTTGCCTTATATATAGTCTGAACGATTAATTGGGAAACCTTGCCGCCATCGCGCGCTGTGCGACTAGTCATCTTAATTAAGACAATTTGGCATACAATCAACCAGTTGACAGTGTCTACTCACGGACCTGCAAGACGAGACAGCGCTCGTCGTAACCATGAATTTTTCCATGATGAACAAAAGTTAATTAATCATAAAGAAGTATCAAGCCTGAGGTTGGGTGGGTGCAGACAGTTCCTTGTTCACTTAGCGCGCATTGTAGTTATTGTGACAATAGATATGTAACCAATACTTAATTTGAAGGAGAAAATAATTTTTAATAACTCTAGCTCAATTATAAGATTGTAACTAATTTCTTTAAGAACATTCCAAATGTACATTAGAACATGTCGTGTCTATAAGAGAAACATTACGTGTTCAACATTACCGTATTCAAAATGCACGTGTTCAACATCCCTTTGTTCATCTTCTCGGGAAGTTGAACAGAGCATCCGCGTGTTCAACTTCCCCGTATTCAACAACCCCCTATTTATATTGCATCCCCGAGTTCAACAAACCCGTATTTATCATCCCTGTGTTCAACTTCACGCATTCAACAACCCCCGTATTCAACAACCCCATATTCAACATCAACATGTTCAACATCCCCATATTCAACATCAAAGTATTCAACATCAAGAGCTCAGGACGCCGGTGCTCGCTTCTTGAAGTCGAGGAATTTTTAAGCCACGAAAGCTGGCGACGCGCGACGCGTGTGGCGTGGTGTGGAAATTAATTTTAAAAGTTAAAAGGTTAACTAACTAACTAACTATTTTAAAAGTTAAAAGGTTAACTATGAGGAATGGAGAATTAGGTAAACTAGAATTATAATAGTGAAATGATCCGGGACGCCGGAGATGCGACAGGGTTGATGAGATGAAGCGATTAAAAGTGAAAAGGTTAATGACAATTGAATGAGAAAAACAGAATGATGAAAAGAGGGAAGGGGTAATCGAAGGGAAGTGAAGGGATGTGGCCCAAGAAATGTCTTGGCCCACAGTTCGTCCCCATCCCTGGGGCTGTGTTGTTGGGGCAGCGTGAGGAATGCACGCCACTTTTGTGAGCTTTAAACACACTTTGGGGAGATCTAGCGACGGCCATTGTTGCGCCGCGCTTCTCTCTAGACGACTTCACTGTCTGGCCTCACTTGGATTTATCGGGACACTGTAATGTCAGTTGCTTTCTGTACTAGCGCACAAACTAAGTACTAGCAAGAACTACTAGGACAAACTACTAGCTCGACCTACTAGCTCGACCAACCATTACCAACTACTTGTAATAATTACTATAATAAAAAATGCTTTAATGGAAAGGAATCTTCATAGGTTTTCTGAAGTTTCTTGCACCTTGCAATACGCAGGAATTAGAAACTCAACTTTTCAGACTGAAGCTGCGTAATTCTTTTATATGGATTTATATTCTTTAGACACCATTTCTGTCATAAGTTTTTCGGTAAGGCCTGAGGGTTATCACCAATAGTGAAGCTTGTCGCGGAAACAAATATCAATATAAAACAAATAAAAAAAAACTTTCAAAAACCACGTTTTCTTAACGGACAAAAAAGAAAAACATTAACTCTTACATAACATTAAAGTTTTGTAAAATGTTATGTAATGTTATGTAAGAGTAAATGTTTTTTTTTTGTCCGTTAAGAAAACGTGGTTTTTAAAAGTTTTTTATTTGTTTTATTTCATTGTTTTTAGTTTTGTAACCACCAGAAAAACGTGTTTTTTTTAAATGTTTTTTTTTTTTATATTATTTATTTTCTACCTTTTAGTTTAGCAATTTTAGCAATTGTAAAATTTAGCGACAAAAAAACTCGATTCCCAACCGCGAATTTTTAGGTTTTTTATATTTAAAAAATTTTCTTTATTCTATTATTACTTCTGATGATCAAATCTTGAATTGTTAGGCAGCATAAGCATGCATGCCAATTTCCACGTTTCTAGGATCTTCAGAAGTGCTCTAATTTAAGGTTTGAATTTTTGATGACAGACAATTAAACAGAGACGAATCGAAACTAAGAAAAAGTTGGTAATTAGACGTACGGTAGGTCGCCGTATGGATGTGATCAACTAGATTGGAGCCCTGACTTGCAGGATAGAACCTCAACTAACTGTGCAATTTTTGCGATGTCAATATTCCGCGACAGGCAAGGCTTCGTCTAACTTACAAAGATTTTGTCGTTCACATGACAGAGTATGAAAAATGTCCGCAGCATTATTATGGAACATGAAGCCGTTGATATATAGCTAACAAGGTGATGTCATATGACCAAACTCTACTTCTCCCGCATCTAGGAAACTTGTAGCGAAATGTGTGGCAAAATTCAAGTGTCCCCAGAGAAGCGGCTAATGNAGCGGCTAATGTCGACCTGAGAGCCTCACTTTGTGTCTAGCTTTACCAACTCTTGCTGTGGTCAGCTCTCCTGTGTAAGAATTTTTCTCATTTTATCATCATGTATGAATTGTAATAATAAAAAAATTCTTCAGAGAACAACAGCAAAATAGTAAAGTCGTTGAATTAGCGCCTAAATAAAGTCATATACGATATTTTTCAGAACATACATCGTCGATGTTAGAGTTAGGTTTGTCAGCGCGGAACGAACAACTTACAGGATGACAGGACTAAACCGTTAAAGATAATAATCTTGCCACCATGAAGCCGCAATGGGAGCTGAAACTGTCTCTTCAAAATCAATGTGATATTTAGGCATGACTGTTGCTGACCTAGGCAAGGTTGTTGGGAGATTAAAATCTTAATAAACATATAGGAATGTCAGCAAGTTGTATACTGTAAGAAATACACTTTAATAATGTCTGTGAATACATATTTTAAATTGCTAGGATGCTCGATTTTGTCATTATACTTTTTAAATGACATTTTGCTTTGACCATGAAGAGACGCGTAGTCTGGGACTGCTATCGTCCGTGCTAAGTCAGGATAGTCATATAGTCGTTAAATTCATTATCGTCTTAAGCGATCTAGTAGATATTGAAGGTTCGTTTCTTAAGATTTATGTGGTACGGTCACATGGCATATGATTGATCCTTGAACATAACATCGGCCTAGAGTTTGGGAAAGTTTTATTGTGTTGTGTGGTAATATGATGTGTGCATGAAGCTATATGTATATAGTGGTGCTACTTGCAGAAACTAGTTCGTTAACTCATCACTTGGTCACATTACAGCACAAAAATTCCTTTTGTAACTTTGGCCAATATTACGCTTATTTGCGTCCATCTTACCCCAGCTGACAGTATTATTTGCGATGAATGCTTTGTTTCGTTTAATATTAATTATTTTCGTGAATCAATTCCGTTTATTGGTCGCATACGAGTATTTAATTGTTCATCACTTCGACCCCGACCCCACATTACAGCCCCAACTTCAACCCCGACCCCACATTACAGCCCCAACTTCAACCCCGACCCCACATTACAGCCCTAACCCTAAGCCAACCTCGCATTACAGCCCCAACCCTAACCCTGCCTTCAACCCCACTTCACAGTAACCAGCTACTTCTCCCAACCACCACCACTACCTGAGTACCCAACCCTCCCCAGCCCCCGAACCACACTCGCACTCCCAGCCCCACTCCCTGCCCACTCCCAGCCCCACTCCCAGCCCCACTCCCAGCCCCACTCCCAGCCCAGAAGCGGTCTACATAACTTTCCTGTCTAGGATCAGCGGAGGTGTACTCACAGCAGAGGAGACGGCCGAGGTATGAGGTGTGTGTATGTAATTTTTTACGCATAGAAAATAATATCCGGACTGGCACCAAACTGAGTACCTACCTGAGTACCCACCCCTCCCCAGCCCCCGAACCACACTCCCACTCCCAGCCCCACTCCCTGCCCACTCCCAGCCCCACTCCCAGCCCCACTCCCAGCCCCACTCCCAGCCCCACTCCCAGCCCCACTCCCAGCCCCACTCCCAGCCCAGAAGCGGTCTACATAACTTTCCCGTCTTGGATCAGCGGAGGTGTACTCACTGCAGAGGAGACGGCCGAGGTATGAGGTGTGTGTATGTAATTTTTTACGCATAGAAAATAATATCCGGACTGGCACCAAACTTCGAACGCTAGGCCTGCAGAATTGAAACATACCATAACGAGAGAAGAGGAAGACTGTGCAGGATACCTAATTACTTTAAATATCTGCGGTCAGATTGCCATATTATGTTCATAATTTATATTCTCATCTCAGAACTCATGCTGGGATTTATATTGATACCTCAGTGCAGGAAATATCTCCTCCCGTAGCAGGACCCAAGGCTGGTAAACGTTTTGCTAAAGGATTTAAGTGAGGGTATCTCCCTGGACGTATTTATGAGGCTGGACGTGTTCCTGAGCACAATGTCTGACCGTCCACCCCTGCACCCCTACCAGCGGCGAGAAGCAAGCAACCCTCGTGCATCAGCTGGCCCAAC